TCTGTGAACATCAGAAACAGTTTCTTCTTCTGTAAAATGGGCATGCTGATTCATGATTGGAGATGACACATCTCTGAATGTATTAATTTCCTTCTCCCTCAGACTCCCAATGTGATATGATCCCAGACCCCAGGCCAGCCTCTTTCACCTCTCAGCTCAGCTGGGCAGTTCCACTGATCTGGTAGTGTTGGGGATTATATCTAGATGTTTTCCCAAAGCTCATACATAGGTGAGGCTTTGGGATGTGGGTGGATCATGGGTGCATGATAATAGATTGTGGGTGTGTTAACTGAATTAGTCTGATGATTGGTTTAGCATAATTCCCGGTGTGGATAATGGGAAGGCCCACCCTGGGTGTGGGTGGTACCAACCAATAGGCTTGCAGCTTGAATGGAATAAAAAGGAAAAGGGAGGCTTACTGCTTTCAGCCTTCTGCCTGCCATGCCATGGACTGTTTCTCCTCTGCCATGCTGCCCTACCTTGGAACCAGCCTACTATGGACTGAAACCTCTACAAACTGTGAGCTGAAATAAACCTTTCTTCCTTTAACTTGCTGATGTTAGGTATTTTGTCCCAGCCATGACTCAGTAACTAAGACAGGCTGGTATTGATCGCTGCCCCCCTGGCAAACTGTGTGTTCTTTCAAAGTGATTTGGCTTCTCTGGGCCTTGGAGTCTTGAGTAGTTTTTCTGTGAAGATGGTATGAGGAATGGCTAGCATGGAACCAGGCAAAAGGGATCTCTGAATCTCAGCAATCAGCAGCTCTCTCTACCACCTCACCCCACCAAGCCTAAGCATTCAGGGTTTCATTTCTTGGAGCAGTAGGGGTGGGGTTAAAAGGTTGGAGCAAAGTGAAAAGGGGAAGCCAGAAGCCCAGGACTGTGTGGCTAGGAGAAGTCTGGCCCAGGCTAGGCAGTGGTCAAGGCTCTCCCAGGAGGTCCAACCAGGTGGTTGGTGTCCTGAGTGCCTTGGTTAGTCGAGGCCAATCAATAAGGCTCAGCTTCTGCCCAGGTGCTTGAAGGTCCCTGGGACAGACTGGCAAATGCTGGAGAGGGAATAAGGGGTGAAGAGCCGCAGCCAGGGCAGCCCAGCCACTGAAGAACCTGGGCAGGACAGACTCTACTCTGGACTCCTGTTGCTTTCTGGCACTAGAGCCTCCTCTTGGTGCCACTGGCCCAGCTGCCCCCATGCCAGTGCCAGGAGCTCAATACAGACACTATGTAGCTCGGAGCAGCCCCCTGCAGTGACTAAGAGATGCAATGGACCAGGGCTTCCTGGTGGCAAGGGCAGTGAATGCCCCCATGGGAGCACCTGTGTGCTGCCCTGTCCTCCTCACTCACAGCCAACCCTGCTGGATCCAGCCAACTTCAAGTTCAGGCTCCACCCCTAGTGGCTCATTTGAGCCTGTTTCTTTATTAGTTAAAAGCTCTAAGCACTCTCCTAACTCCTAGGGCCACTGTACTCATTGTCTGAGATGATTGATATGAAAGGGTGTGGTAAAGGAAGCAGAGAATTACGAAGCATGTTCAATGCATCATTACATCCCTAAAAGCCAAGCACAGTAAATCCTCAACTTACTGTGATATTTTTGCCCCATTTTACAACGAGTATGCTATGGTTCAGAGAGGGTGGGTCACCTGCCTGAGGTCCCACAGCTGACAGAGCCAGGCTGGGACCTAGGGTTGTGGAAATCCAGACATGTACTTTTCACCTCTGCCCACACTTTCCATGTGAGGTCACAGCTTTGGTTAAACTCTTCCCCAAAGTTAAGTATCCTTCTTGTTATTATCGTTATTTTGTAAGACACAAGTCACAAAAGGGACTATTCTGAGAAGTTACCTCTCTTCTGCCCTGTGAGCTTCTGCAGTCTCAGACACTCAGGATTCTGATGTCTGAGGGAATCAACCCAAGAAAGCATGAAACTAATCTTTTCAACGTTAATGTCTCCTAGGCGTCGCATCAGTATTTGGGTTGGACGTAACCTTGTTATCATAATGCAGAGGAAGCCCCAAATTTAATAAGGCTAAAACAACTCGAGCAACGTAAGAAACATAACAGGATATTGCAAAGAGATTAGGAGTTTCCTCTGGACTGCGAAGGGGGCAGGTGGGGGACAGGCAACGAGGTTTACGCTGGGGGCCAGTGAGTCCTCGATCCAGCCTGGCCTCAGGACAGAGAGGCTAGGGCAGAGCTGATGGCCCCAGAGAGCGGAGTCCACAGACTAAATGTGAACCAGCTGGTAGGACAGCGTTAGAGTTGGATGGGGAGAAGGGAGCTTACCTCATGAAAGGGCTGTGGAAACGGCTGCTGGGAAGATAATAAAAGGATTAACTGCTCTTTTAGTGGGCCATTTACTCTTCAATCAAAATGTCTCATCTATTTCCTGTTCTCCACAGGCTCCAGGCCCAAAATTCCTTTGTCTATTACAGCACATGGTAGCAGAGGCTTGTCATGAGAAATTAATAATTTTACAGGGAAGGGAGGTTGTATTTATCTGGATGCGGGCTGGGGCCTGCCTGGTCCCGCGGGTTACCCACTGCACCAGCACTCTGCCCTCCCACAGCAGCAGGAAGACTAGGCAAGGAGATCGCCACTGCTACCAGCTGCAGACAGTGGCACCTAGCAGGGCTGGCCCACAGGCCCCAGAGAACCCCCAGTTTGACAGAGCAACACCAACAAGAACTTCTAAGTTTAGAAAAATGTGGATTCAAATCCCACTCCAACCGTAACTATGAGTGTTACTTTGGGCAAGTTATTATTACTATTGTGATTCTTAGTCTTTACCATTGTTGTTGTCATTATTATTATCTCTAACTAGCTGTGTGATTGGGACCACTTATATAGTTAGTCCCTTTGAGCCTTAGTTTCCTCATATAGAAAACATGGGTTAATAATATCTACTCAAGAGGCCGGGGATTTAGCTTAGTGGTTTCATCACCTGCCCCACAAGCGCAAGGACCCGAGTTCCATCCCCAGTACCAAATAAATAAATAAATAAAAATAATAATAATATCTACTCAAGAGCTGTGCTTGAAGACCAAATGGACCTACCACCTAGAACAGCACCAGGCACAGTCTGCACTAAGCAGCTGCTTGTGAGTACTGTCATCATGGTACTCTCAACCATGAAGAGGCAAGACCAAGTGTTCTAGGAGCAAGCAGGAGGTGGCTGGACCCACCAGGACTTTGTTTCCTTATGTATAAAAACTCTGGGCTTTACAGAACTTTGTTTTCTTTCTTTTTTCTTTTTGTAGTACTATGGACTGTACCTAGGGCCTCCACATGCTAGGCAAGTGCTATACCACTGAGCTACACCCCCCCCCTTTGCATTTATTTTATTTTGAGATAAGGTTTCTCCAAGTTGCCTAAGTTGGCCTAGAACATCGCTTCTCGGCCTTTTGGCTAAGATCAAGTGTAGTTGGCCTAGAACTTGTGATTCTCCTACCTTAGCCTCCAGAGTTGCTGGGATTACAGGTGTGCACCACAACACCTAGCTTTCCAGGACTCTTGTAAAGAACAAACGTGATTGCCAGTGAGCTCAGATACCTTCTCCATGAAGCCCTCTGGGCCTCCCCTCACCGGGCCTCTGTTCCCCAAGTTGGAAAGTAGGCAGGGAAGGCCTAGGTCATCTCAAGACCCATATATTGGGGCTCATGGGACCACACAGTCTCCACCTAAGCCCCCTTAGATGCTAGTGGGGACACTTACAGGAGGTGTCATGACAGAGAAGTGCAGCTCAGCAGCTGTCACTCAAGAGTCTCAGAGACAGGCAGACCTGGCCGTGTATTTTGTTGGTCATCTCTTTCCAGGCATCTTTCATCAAGCCATTTGTCACAAGACCCCAAATGAATTGGGGATGCCCCAGCTCACCACCCTCCCACCAGCCAACTCTCAACAAAAAGGCACATTAAGTCCAGTTCCCCACTTCCCTCCCCTCCAACACCAGGATTCCAGCTTGGGCTGCCTCTTTCTCCTGTCTGTGAAGTGAACCCCTTCTCATCTTGGAGGCCTGAAGCACTGACCCCATATGTGCCCAGCTCACAGTGCCACAGGTAGACGGGTCCTGGTAGCTAGCACTAGCCCCAGGAGGGTGAGCAAGGTGAGTATGAAACTCCTGTCTCCTCCCTGGCCCCTATAAACCACCGTGGGCTCTGAGTAGACAGTGTACAAGTGTGAAAGAACCCGACCTTGGCTATGACACCAGCCCCTGAAGGCCAGACGCACTATAGCCCACCAGCTGGGACAGCTGAGTTGTGGCCTGGGTGGCCCAGGCTTCCTGAGGTGTGGTGCACACCCTGAGGCCCAGCTTTTCAGCTCCTGGGCAGGCGAGGTGCTTCTTGGGCACTGGATGGGCCCCCGGGCAGGCGAAGTAATGAAGTAGAGGTATCAGGAAATAGGATTATGCTCTCAGCCTCTGCTGCAGATTTCTACACAGCAAGAGCAGAACACAGAACAACTGGCCAGGAGAGCCAGAGGCCAGGGCGCCTGCAGGTGTGGGTGTAAGTGTGTGCACATGCGTGTTTGTGGACACACACTTGCATGCATGTATACACACGCACCTCTCTGTTCCCAGAAATCTTAGTCTCAGTCCCAGCCAAAACACTGGCAGTGTTACAGAGGGCCTTGACTTTAGCCTAAGCCTCCCCTGGGGACTCACAGTAGCGGGCCAGAAGCCTGCGAGGACCCAGCAGTGCAGGCAGCTCCAGGAGAAGGCCCTGGAGTACCCTCAGGAAGGACACCAGGGAAAGCCCTATGCTAGGCATCATGCCCCCGCCTGTCATCTGGCCACCTGCAGGAGGGACACAGGGCACATGCAAGTGGAACAGAAGGCTGGCCAAGCCTGCTCTGACCTGTGGCCACTAAAGCACATCTAACACACATCTAACACCCCAGTGCAGGGGACAGGGTGCCTGGAGAGAACAAAGTGCCCTGCCGAGGTCCCAGAGACTGGGAGCTGTGCTGTGGGCTAGGGCAGGCAAGGCACACAGCAGCGGACTCACCATGCACTTGTTGGGCTTCTCACCCGAGTGCACCCTCATGTGGATGAGCAGCTTGTAGCGGGCATTGAAGGGCTTGTAGCGGCGCACACATCCGGCCCAGAAGCAGGTGAAGTCCTCGCCCTTGCGCTGGTCTATGTGGCTCTTCTCAATGTGCCGCACCAGCTCCTCCTGTTGCTCGTATGCTGCACAGCAGTCCACCCAGCGGCATGCCTGCCGCCCAGCCACCAGCCTGCCCGCCAGGCCCAGCCCCAGACCTGCCAGACCCAGGCCAGCTGGCAACTGAGGCAGGGGGTAGGGGGGTGGCAGGCCCTGCTGGTGAGTCCCAAAGAGCTCTGAGAATTCGTCCGAAGGCTCCTGCTTCAGGAAGCCCGTCTTCTGGCACTCTTCCAGCTGCATGCTGCCCTCCTGGCTCTCAGTGGGCACAGGGCCGTGCCGGGACTGCTTAGGAGGGCCCCCGACATCTCCCGGCAGAGGGGGGCTCTGGAGTCCATTTACACAGGAGACTAGAGCCGTCTGGGAGGAGTGGATGATAGGGGTGACATCGGAGGAGCCACAAGGTGAGGAGGAGGCTGAGGAGACAGGAGGCAGGCCCAAGAGGCAGCAGCGCTTCAGGCTGCCCTCGGGCAGGTGGGCTTCAGGCTGGGGGCCCAGGCCTGGGCTAGGCTCGCTGCCCAGAAGGTAGCAGGAAGGGGCAGGGTTGGCAAGGCCTCGGCCTGGGAGGTCCAGCGCTGTGTGCAGGCCTGTGGCTGGCGGGGCGCGGCAGTGGGTTGACAGGGGAGTGTGGGCTTCGGCCATGGCCTGGTAGTCGGGCAGGGACTCCTGCTTGATGTGCTGTGTGGCTGGCAGGCTGCCATTCACATAGGCGGCCTGGGGCCTGGGTGACCTGGAAGACAGCGGCCAGAAAAGTCATGAGAGGGGAGCACAGCAGCTGGCAGGGAAGCTGAGGGGCAAGGGATTAAGAAGTCCAGAGGAGGAGAGGGAGACTGAGACCAGCAAGCAGAGGAAGGGAGGATTGGTCAGTTGAGAGAAGAGGTTGGTTGTCTGAGAGCAGGGAAGAGTGTGAGAAGGGAAAGAGGGAGAGAGAGAATGAGAGCGACTGAGGCAGGAGGTGTGACAGGTTAAGGCTGGACTCCAGGAAGTATGGCTCTTTTTTGCCAAAACCCAGCCTGGCCTCCAGCCCTGGGGCCACCCCACCCCCAGGGCTTCCCAGTGTCCCTCCCTGCCCTGACCTTGTGAGTGCTACAGGAGGAAGCCTTGGGCTGGTGTTCTGAGGAACACCCAGTTCCTACGGGATTTTAATTCCAAGTATGTCCCCTACATCTTTAATTTCTATAATCTTTCTTAGCTTCTGAAGATACTAACTGTATGAGGTTTTGTCCCAAGCAGTCTGTCTTTTCCACTCCCCACATCAGCGTTAGGGTTCTGAGGCACAGCCATGGCGAGAGGGCGCCTTAGCCCTAACTGAGGGAACGCTTGGGCTGGGCACAGCCAGGAATTTCAGGCCCAAACACCATGACTGAGAGAAACTACAACTCTGAAGAAAAGTCGGAGTAGCCCAGGCAGGGCACAGGTGGGAGGCAGGAGACCAGGTCTGAGGCCAGGTGCAGCTCTGTCCCAGCTGTGAACTCAGGCAGGTTCCAGGCCTCTCTCCTCAGTGATAGCAAAGTGACCCAGTGACCCCCTCAGAGAGCCAGGCTGTTTTAGGTGGCAGAGCTGGGTTTCCTATGGTGGCTGTCTTCACCGTGCAAGTGGCACACAGTTTCCTAGGGAGCCTCTCCCAAAGGCGGGACATCCTCCCTGCCCACTTCACAGAGGACCATGTTCGGAGGGACGAGGGGATTCTCAGACTGGGGTGCCCACCATGGAGGGGAGGCAGGTAAGGTACAGGCAGAGACGCCCAGGCCTGCCTGTTACCAGAGCACTCCAAGAAGAGGAAAGGAGAGGCCAGGAAGGTGAAGTGGGCAGAGAATCTCCATGGCTGGGTGGCACCACAGGAGACCTGGCTTTGTGCCCAAGGTCTGACTAGGATCCCATGTGACCTTCCCCTCCCTGAGCCTCAGTTTCCCACCTGTGAAACAAGGACCAAGAACACAGAACTTAGAGGGTGGTGGCCAGGATCAAGAGTCAGCCCTCTGGGAAGGAGACAGCAGGGCTCATGGTGCTGTTATTACCCCGCTACACCAAGGCTTCCGGGGGCTCCATGCAGCGAGAGCTGTGGGGTCACTGTTGGTCTCTCTGTTCCCCAAGATGGTCCTGGGGCTCCTGCCCCTGCAGGTGCAGCATTCCCAGCACCACCACAGGAGGAGGGGAAGGGAGAGAAGCATCCACCAGAGAGCCCAAGCCCAAAGAGCTGGGAGAGGAGCCAAGAGGGCCCATCGCCACCCAGTGGCTTCTGGGGCAGCACATGGCATGGGGGGAAGCCCTCTGTACCCAGTGAGCAGTGCAGGTTGGCCACTGTGTGATCTCTGAGCTGGCCTTTCCTCCCCGGCCTAGCTGACTCTTCCTCTTCTGAGATGACTTTGCAAGAAGCCACCTCAAGCCGGGCGTGGTGGTGCACATATGTAATCCCAGCATTTGGGAGGCTGAGGCAGGAGGATCGCCACCAGCCTGGACTACATAGTGAGTTCAAGGCCAGCCTGAACAACATAGCAAGACCCTCTCTAAAAAAAACACCTCAGCTTGTGCAATGGGGACATGAACCTTAACAAAACAATCTTTGTGTCTCTCACAAGACCCTGGCAAGGCAGGAAGGTCTAGAGCGGGCATCTTTGTGTCACTAAGCCCGTCCCAGCCTCCTGGACCTCAGTTTCCCTGTGTTTCCCATGAGCCAGGCAGGTCCTTGTCCTCTGGGGAGTGTCCACAGGAAACTGAGCTGTGTGAACAGGGACGTACCTGTGAGGGGGGGGGAGATGCAGCAGCCTCTCGCAGGCAGGGGTGTGGCCCCGGGGTGGTGGGGTTCCCACAGGGAGAAACAGGCCGGGGCCCTCAGCAAGGTCCAGGTCCAGCAGGCCCTTTTCCGACCCGGGGGTGCAGTGGCCGTAGCTCCCGTTCACTAGGCAGGGACAACAGGGAGAGAAGAGGCAAGTGAGTGGCGACAGAGCACCTGGAGCCATGCCAGGCACCATGACACCTTGTTTACTTCCACACCCCCTCAGCAGGATCAGTAGTAAAACAGCCAATTCTCAGGTGCAGATGTTAAGCTCTAGGGGTTAAATAAGCATCACACAAACATCAGGTGCCTACTGTGCGCCAGGCAGGATTCTAGGAGCAGGAAATGCTGAAGAACAAGACAAACTCCTGGTGTCCTGGAGTCCGTGGTCTATTGTCCCCAAGCCACATTTCAGTTGCTCAGGTGCTCACCAGCGATGGGGCTGGCACACCCAGCCACCGAGGAGAAGCCCAGGCTGGAGCAGCTGCTGTCCCCGCTGCTAAGGCCCCACCTATGCTGCTTCCCAAGGCTTCTACACCGGATAAAGACAGCACGTCGTTATTCACCCACTATGTCCCCAACGGGTCTCTCACCCTAATGATCATGCGCCCCACCTCGCCTACCTGACCAGGGGTTTCTAGGGAGGCTGAGGAAGTAGATGTGAAAGACCTTGAGAAACTACATGAAATGTAACAAAATGCCAGGCACAGTTGTTAGAAGCTCCTTTCCTTTCTGGACCTGTTTCCCACCAAACAGATGTGGACAACTGATCTAGAAATTATATTCTTGGGCTTTCTGCCCTGTCACCTCTGGGGAGTAATAAAAGAAGGAAAAGGCACAGGATTTGGGGCCACTGGACCCAGAGTGGGTGTGAGGCCACTCTGTCCAGAACCCACTCTGCAACTCCGGTGAATCCCTGCGTGTGGCGAACCCTCTGCTCCCCAAGGTAAAATGCAACAGTCACAGCGGTTCTGGCACAGTGCTGGCACCTACAGGTGTGCCTCTGGAAGAGGTTCGATGGTTAAACCACTCTGAAACCTATAAAGTGCCTTACAGATCTAACAAAATGTTATTGATGGGCCCAAGTATTGTTCAGGTCCTGTCAGTGCTAAGCAAGATTATGTATCAGGATGAGAAAAAAGCTGGGACTAGAGCATAGCCAACCCCTAAACCAAGATCAAGGCAGCAACAAGAGCACACCATGTGTGGATCAGATGTGAAGGCCACTGGCCTGTTTGGGCCCCCACTGCCCTCTGAGGAAGGGGTGAGTGTTCCTACATCCATCTGACAGAGAAGAAAGCAGAGGCTCAGGGAAGCTACATTACCCACACAAGAACGCACAGCTAGTATGCATTTAAGCTGGGTTTCTGGCCCAGTCTCTCCACATTCAAGCTGCTGTGTAATAAGAAGTGGGCTTCTAGACAGCCCAGCGTGGGGGTCCATCTCCCCCAACCCCAATTCCAGCCCTCCCAGGGCAGAGTCCCTTCAGTATGTGGCTATCCCCCTGTGCTGAGGCCCGGCACTTTACAGTGTGCAGTGATAGTCACAGTGCCTGGCTGTCGAGCTCCGGGTAGTTGAGGGGCTCCCATGAGCCTCCGCTCCATGCAGCCTCCAGGCCCCAGCCCCAGCCCCAGGGCTCAAGGAACACTTGCCCTGCGGCCTGGGCTGGCTGCTTGGCCAACCCCTCACTGGCTTATTTTTTAATAACTTGGTTGTTTTTTAATTATAAAGAAATCCCTGGTAACAAATGTGGATGGGCTAAGTTAAGGAGAGCAGTATGCAGCTCGTTTAACTCTGTCTCTGCTTGGCTGTCCTCGCCTTCTCCAAATCATTTCTGCATGCGGTTTTATTGTTCCATGGAGGCAAACCCTGGGACTGGGCCTCAGAAAACTGGATAATTTTATGACCATTAATAGCATTTGGAGCAAAGAGTGCTTAATCATCACACAGGGCTGTTTCGCAGGGGTCTTTGCCGGGGTGGGGGGGTCCGAGCTTCCTTTGAGGACTGGGTCATTTATGCCTCCTTCACCCAGGGGGTCGTGTGCAATGATGGAAGGTGCAGAGGCTGGCACTTATCAAGCCCTCCCAGTGTCCATCCTGGAGACAGGCTCAGTACAGCCCTTTTCCAGGTGACAAAACCGTGGTTTTGTTTTTTGGGGTTCTTTTTTGTATATCCTTTTATTGGTACATTTTAGGTGTACAACATAATGACATTCATCATTGGAGATATGCACCTTTACATACTCTCTTGGTTCTTATTTTTCCCCTTCCCCTGCCCTCCCTTCAACCCTTCATTCCTCCCTATTTACAAAGACTTTGTTTCCATTTTTCCATTTTCTCCTATTAATTCCATTCCCTTCTTTCCTTTCCCCTACCCCTCCCACTTCCCCCTCTCCTTTGCCCCTTTTCTTCCTATTTCACGTTATCTATTATAACTTTTAGTCCTTATTTACACTTTCAGTATCTCACACTAGAGAAACTATTTGGTATTTACACATGTGTGTCCTGTTTATTTCACTTAAGAGTATCGCCTCAATGTGCATCCATTTAGCAATAAATGTCTCTAATTTCTCATTTTTGATGGCTGAGTAGTACTCCATTTTATTTAAAAACCACATTTTCTTGATCTAGTCTCCAGTTGATGGGCATTTGGGCTGTTTCCAAGTTTTAGCTATCACAAACTATGCTACTATGAACATGGGTGCACATATATCGCTGTGGTATGATTCTTTTAATTCTTTGGGGAAGATACCCAGCAGGGGAATAGCTGGGTCAAATGGGACCTCTAGTCCTAGTTCTTTGAGGTATCTCGATACTGATTTCCACAGTGGTTGCACCAGTCTACACTTCCACCAGCAGTGGAGCAGGGTTCCTCTTTCTCCACAGCCCCGCCAGCATTTGTTGTTGGTTGATTTCATGATGGCAGCCATTCTTTCTGGAGTGAGGTGGAATCTCAGCGTTGTGAGAAACCCATGGTTTTGAGAGACTACATGCTTCTGACTCGGCTCGAGAGTCCCTAAGAGACCAGGACACAATCCAAACCCAGATCTCTCAGACTTCAAGGCCCAAGCGCTCTCCTGCTGCCTCTCCGTCTACTGGTGAATAACCACAGACCCCGGAACAAGCATCCCCAACTGGGCCCCCAAGGAGGATCAGAGAGGTTAAGTGGTTTCCCAAAGTCACACAGGGAGTAACTGGCTGAGCTGAGATCAAACCCATCAACTCTGTGAGACGCAAGAATCATTATCAACAAACTGGTCTGCTAGCTGCCTCTGCACTAGAAACAAGAAGAGGTTTTCAAACTATTAACAACTTTGGGACAGAGCCTGCTGGGTCACAGCTGGACACTGGCTGGTGCTCCAAGCCCAGCGGAGCCCTTTTCTCCTATTCCCTGACAGTACCTGGAGAAAGTTTTGACTGCCCATCCTCTCCAAGGACTCTGAGCACCGCAGCCAGCAAGTGGCCACCCAGGGTCAACAGCAATTGCTGGCAGAGTCGGAGCCCACACTGAGGTCTCCCAAAGCCCATGCCAGACTCTGCCCCAGGCCACCTGCTTTCTCAAAGGCTGAACATTAAACCAGAGGCTGTGTGTGTGTCCCAGAGATGCTGCTGCCACTGGAAAGATGTGTGTACTGCCCACATGGGTCAAGTCTGCCAGGAAAGATGTGGGCACTGTCTATTGCCTGATACCACACGACCCCAACAGGGAGGTCCCCTTCTATTCACACTCCATCTCTGGGGAGAGGGGATGGGGCCCTGCCTGGGGAGTGAAAGGTGCACACTGTCTGCCTTGCTGTCCTGAGGCAAGAGAGGGGTGCCACAGGGCCAGGAGTGGACCTAGGATCCAGCCTTCCCCATGCAAACTGAACCTCTTTGGGAAGGCTGGAGAGTGATGGGGTCCTGTGTTCATATTTATGAATTGGTGAGGAATCCTACAGTGTCAGGGCTGGAACTATCTATTTCATTAATAGATAAAGCAACTGAGACTTAGGGAAGAACTTCCCTTAGTCACACAGCAAATCCCAAGCAGACCCAGGACTGGCACTTCTGAAATTCAGTAAGAATTTGGCCTCATTTTCTCATCAAGTCTTAGTTTTCTCATTTCATAAGGTCACGGTGATAAATGGGATCACAAATCTAACCCATTTGGCCTGACACCTTCCTTGCAGTAAGCACAAGAACAGTACTGATTATATGAATTATTTCTTAAACTTCTCTCAGCTCTCAGCAGGGAGGCAGGGCTCTGTTTGAGAAGTGCTCTACCCCCCCACCCCATAGGTCAGATCTGAATGACAATAGGGCCAGACTCAGAAGGACAAACCCTCAGCACTTGGCAGTCAAACGTAGAACCAGGCAGCCAAGGGAGGTCACAGCCAGCCAATCTGAAGCAAACAGATGCGGCTACACACCAGAGAGCTTTGCAAATTATCGTAATGACTTGGCTATAAAATGGCACCACATATAAGGTGACTCCCCACAAGAATTTTAATTTATGCTGAAACCTGCCAAGTCTGCACGAGAGTGGACAAAGATTCATTCAGCCTTTCGGGCCCAGGCATGTCTCCTTGCAGCCTCAGGGGCAGCAAGCAGCTGGGGCCAGGATGGCTTTCACTATGACCCACGGTGTCTTGTTTACCAGCAAGCAGGCCTTTAGTGCCTACCAGGTACCAGGCTGGGGACAGCGTATCACACTTTACAGTTTACAAAAAATGGTCACAGCCATCACCCATGAACTTCATTACAACTCTCAGGAGTTGGCTGGGCAGGCTCAGGCAGCAGGCAGAGCTCAAGCTTGGCTGGCTCAGCATCTCATTTTCTGTAAAAGGCAAGACAGTCAGTAAGTTAGGCCTCCTGGGCCTACCAGTCCCGGCCACAACTGCTCCAGTCTGCTGTGGTACTGTGAAACATAGCCATAAACAATACGGAAGCAAGAGCATGGGGCTGTGCTCTAATAAAACTTTATTTAAAAAACAGATCCCTGGTTCTTGGGCTATTGATCTGCCAACCCCTGAACTTGTGTGGCAGTTAGAGAGACAGGGATTCAGAATCTGAAACAATCACGCCTTCCTGCATCTATAAAACATGGGGGAGTTGATGGTGTGAAAATGAAATAATGTAACAAG